CAGTTGGCAATTACAAACTTAGAATTAGAAATTATAAGCCCAGGTTTCCTCACGATGTTTTCCTTCACCAGTCAGTGGTGTTCAAATAATCTTAGAAGGTACCTACATATAACTCGAAAAAAGTCACATTGGTACTTGCCGTTGGTAGGTTTCGATCCGCACCCTCGTGCATGAGAAGTGGGCGTCTTAAACCTCCGGGCCACCACGTCACTTGCCTACACTGCCAGTACTGTTAGTATCGCCGCGACCGAGCACGCTGCTCATGAGGAAGAACCTTTCTATAGTTCGAAACTAGCCTCTTGACTGCCGGTATATAGAAATAGACACAATAGAAAACACATTGTGCCTCGCATAGATCTACTTTCCGGCATACCACAGGCTAGTTAGTAGAGCTTTTCTCAATATATTCACTGAGTTGTGAGTAACCCGCGAATTTTAGTTAATTTAGTATGTCTATCTATACTAATATTATAAAGCTGAAGAGTTTGTATTTTTGTTTGTTTGAACGTGCTAATCTCCGAAACTACTGATTCGAATTAAATAATTCTTTTTGTACTGGATAGTCCATTTATCGAGGAAGGCTATAGGCTATAAAACATCTCGCTACGACTAATAAGAGCCAAGCAGAGCGGGTGAAACCGCGCACAAGTAGCTAGTATATTATAAAAACAATGTTACATTCATTTTTCCCCAATTATGTGATGAATCCCATGTAGGTACAATATGTAACATAATATAGTAGTATATTCATACATGAAATACATGTTACTTGTGTTTTAGCGTGAAATGAAGTTATTTTCCTTCTTTCTTTTCTTATATACATAACGGCCTGTCTCCCATGGGCCTAGGCAGAGACTATGGAAAGTCAGTTGCTACGATTCTTACATACCTCATTCGCTTCATCAACAGTCATCAGTCTTATCACGCATGCTCGTCGGTTAAGGGTATTTTTAATTTGGCCTTTCTTTAATATATCATCAATCTGGTCGATGTATGTCTGTCTTATTTTTATTTTTTGCGGGGGAAATCATCCAATGACGTCTCCCGCCCCGGGTTAGGCGAGAGGGGAGTATCAGACTCTTAACTACAAAGTTGCTATCCGCCGTCTGCCTGTCCCTATGTATGCTTTGATCTTTAAAACTACGCAACAGATTTTGATGCAGATTATTTTAATAGATAGAGTGATTCTTAGAGAATGTTTATAAGTATAATACATGCATATTGCACCCGTGCGAAGCCGGGGCGGTTCGCTAGTACTGACTAAAAACCACTCTGTTCCTACTCCTGCATTTCGAGTTGGAGCCCTGGTAATCCGTTAGGCCTTCCGCGGCTCTGTATCGGGCATAAGCCCTACTGGGCCCCATCTGTGCCTCATCTGTCTAAGGTGCCCTCTACCGATGGTGTTATTAATACCTGTTCTGTATTACTTTATCGTATGTTTTAATCTATCCCTTCTTACATTAAGCAAGTAATCTTCAAATACTATTATAACTTAAACCTAGTAAAGCGTTATCAATATACGGCCTATGACGTTTTTGAATCATCATATCACTATCGGACGATATAACTCAATTATCTTTTTAGCTATCAATGTATAGGTATAGGATACCTGAGCGTACGGCGCCGAGCGTTCCGCGCGCGCCTCCAATAGCAATCAGACTGTCACGGATGGGGCTTAATAAGACTGATGCCGATTCGAAGCCGCGGAGGACTTAACGAATTGTCGGGGCTCCGGATCGAAGTGCAGGATTAGGAACGGGGTCGGTTTTAAGTCAGTAAGAGTCTGATACTCCCTCCCGCCTCGCCTGGAGAAGTCATTCGATGAATATCCCCCACTCAAAATGAGGGTTTAAGTTAAAGAAGAGTTTAACTTGGTGGTTTGTTCGAACACGCTACTTTCTGAAACTGTTAGTCCGAGTAATAAAATCTTTTTTATCGGACTAAATGAAGGGTAGGTAGCTTTTTTAATATTTCTGTGGTAGGTAGTGTTGAATGATCCATTTATCGAGGTCAAAGTCAAAGCATTTATTTAAATTAACTCGTCGAGTACCGTCATTATAGACACAATTATAAAACAATAGGTTGCGGTCACCGGTGACCGCTTGGTGTTTGACAGTTTAAATCACATAACATAACAACACGCCTTTTTATCCCCGAAGGGGTAGGCAGAGGTGCACCATTATGCCACTTTACAGTGAAACACCCACTTTTCACTATTTATGTTATGAGTCCCATGTAATAGGGGGTGAGCCTATTGCCATATACTGGACACAATTTCAGACTCCGTGTTACTACTGAGAATTTTTTAAAACCCAGTATTACTTTGCCCACCCTGGGAATCGAACCTGAGACCCCATGCCTGGCAGTCGCACTTCACACACAAACGATCACTCGACCA